TAATTGTATTAATCTCTAATTTGTGTGAATCTGTCCTGTTTTTCATTCTCACCCTGTTGCTGTTCAACTACGGACTTTCCCCACGGGGATTAATAAAGGTCCATCTGATCTGATCTTTTATTCTCTGTGGACTACTATCAGCAAATTCTGATAATGGAATACGGCCCACAAATGAAACTTGTGCTTGTCTTATATTGTACTTCTTAAATATAAATGTAAACATATATTACACAGTATTCATGTGTTGATAAGCCCTCTTTTCAAATGCATTCAGTCAATTAAAGTTGGAAGCATTTTCTAGCAAATCTTAGTTGATTAGAAAAAAGAAAGAAGTTTGGACCCCCCTGGTGTAAATTTAAAAATAACTGTTAACCCTGTGTTGTTCCCAGGTGGAGCCCACCACTCCCATCTCTCCCAGCACCCCCGGGCTGAAACCCTGGAACGCCGCCCCCGAGGACAAACAGGCCCCGCCGGCCACGCCCACAACTGCAAGCCCCGCCCCCGCCCCCGCTCCATACAGACCAGCTGTGTGAGTCCACGCTCCTCCATTACACATCCAATCATTTTTTTATTTGTTGTGTTTATATTTTTTGTAATTTACTTTTTATTGGCATTGAGTGTGAAACATTGTCACAGCATATTGTACATTGCATCTTTACATGAATGACAAATCTGTTCATAGTTCTTCTCAGCAACATACACATGATGACACAAATGAGAAAGACGTAAAGACAAAAAAATAAAACCGTGAACAATTAGGGAGTAGACATTTCTTTACGGCAGAGTTCTGAGAAAACTAAGTCAGGCCTTTATTTCGTTGTTTTGTTTGTTTTTTTAATAACAATTAACCAGTATTTTGGATGGTGGATGTAAAAGACATTCTTTTATATTTGTCTTGTAAAATATGACATACTACGTAAAATAATTAATTATATTTTGTATTTGATACTGCTTAAGTTTGTACAGTATCATTATTGTCATGATTAATTTCATTATAATTGTTTTTATTGTTTTACACGTTCTAAATAAATTAAATCAAAATGTTGGAGTTTTAAAGTTGTTGTTGTTTGTTTTTGAAGGACCTACTGGGATCTGGATGTTCAGACCAATGCTGTGATCAGAGAGCACCCCCCCGCCAACCACCTGCACCCCCACCCTGAGATCGAGCTGCAGAGAGCCCAGCTGGTCACCAAACTCCGTCAACACTACCACGAGCTGTGCCACCAGAGAGAAGGTACCCCCAACACACACGCGCGCGCACGCACGATGGTTCTGTACAGCTTCCTGCTCTGGAAGTCTTGAACTGAGACCTCTTTTATTTGTTGGTCCTGACATTGGACTAATTTTAACCCTAACAAGTCTCACGTCAATACCAGCAAGTCCCAACGTCAAGTCCCAGATGAGGACTAAGAACTCTTTAGAGCAGTTGGTCCTAACCTGGGACTTGACCTAAGACTTACCCCAGGACTTGTAGGTTGTAGGTTGAGGTGACGTGCAATAACATCAACCTTTCTGTTGGTCGCTTGTTAGCAGACCCTTCACGCGATGGCAGAGCGAACAGGTACAGGCAGGGCCCATAATGATAGCCCTATAGTTTAAACCTGCCCACACATAAACATATGGAAATGGGTTACTATTTAAAAAAAAAATGTATTTAGGAACCTATCCATGTGATTTTAAGTGGGGGTCGACCTCAAATCCTCGAGGGGGGTCCGGGGGCATGCTCCCCCGGTAAGAGTTAAATGCATCAATCTGGTGCACTTTGAGGGGAAAATAAAGAGACTAGATCTATGGGAACACCTATACGAAACAGAACTGTATACATTTCAATAATCATGAAGTATAGTCTATGTGTGGGAAACCCTGCTCATGTTCTAGAGCTCATGGACACTTCAGAGACATGTCCTTAGTAACAGCTGGAAGAGAGGGGGGGGGCTACAAGGATCTGTTTGGGGTTTGGAGCAGGACACTTCAGAGACATGTCCTCAGTAACAGCTGGAAGAGAGTGTGGTTTTCTCTGGACAACCTGCTATTTGCTGGC